TGTGCCCTCTGTCCTGGCCCCCTGCTTCCCAGCAGGGGCATCTAAAGGAGCACCCCATCTCTCCTCCTTTCCTTACTCATTGTCCCTCTTATCTATTTGGCAGGAGGGCCTCCTTCCCCTCTTGGGGCCAGCCTGCCCCCAGGATGCCATGTTCTCTGCTCCCCACCATGCGATGAGTTTAGTGAGGCTGTTCTCAGCGAGGTGAAGAGTTGCTAAGGTTTCTGCTGCAGAGATAAAGCCTTGCACTCTGATCAGCTGCATGAGTAATAAAGATGACTTTTGACCACCATCGCTCTGTCTCCTGGGACTCATTTTTCAATCGATTCTGAGCTCCCCCAAAACAGTGTGATATACGGTTTGACGGGGCAGGGCACTGAGCATCTGACGGAGGCACAGCCTCCCAGAGCCTGTGCCAGGACCTGGCAAGAGAGGAGCACGTCCAGGCAGCTCTCCGGCCACCGCTCCTGTCCTGGTCCCACAAGGGTTGGGGAATGTGCTGCTCTGAGGGCTGTGGCTGATGCCGCCCGAGGGAGAGGGGAATAAGGTGCAGAGCAGATGGGAAGGAAGGTGGGTCCTGAGCTCCTCCGCCCGCCCGGAGCTCTTGGCAGGGAATGCAGCCAGCTCCGGCTCCCTGGTGAGGAGGGAGCACCGAGCGAAGTGGGGCACACTGTGATTCTTCAAGTGACTGACTTGCCCCCACATGCCCTTTTCTCCCATCAGCCCCATGAGAGAAAGCAGTACTGCCGGCCGCTCTCAACAACCTGCACAATCCCCTCGTGGGGCCTCAGGAAGAGATTTTCCGTCCAGATCAATCTCCTCACTGCCAGGTCATGGTTGGGGGCGGGGCGGGCTTCTGCAGTAAGGTTCATTGTAATGTCAACAGGAGTGAAATGTCACTGGGAAGGAAAGCCCCCTATAGTGACCCTTGGGCTTCCCCATTATCAGCTGAAGGACTATCTGCTGTCTAGCTCACCTATTCTGAGGCTCCCCTCTCTTAAGAGGCTCAGTTTTCAGGGTACTAGTCATTGTGCCTGGTGAGGTGGCAGGGACTGAAGCTTGTCTCTTTCCAGTTACGTGGTTAAACCCAGAATCTGCCAGGGAAAGGAAGCTGCAGGATGGAAAGGCAGCATGCACTCCCCAAATAAACTCTTGGGGTTGGAGAGGCAAACAGATGCTGCTGCCCCCCCTCGCCCCTTCCCGCCCCCTGCCTTCCTGCAACACAGAGACACAGACACAGATAAGACAGACACAGACAGACCCACAAACATAGACATGGACAGACAGACAGACACACTCTGTCTCTCCTGGTTCAGCTCTGCTTTGAGATTTGCTGAGGACCCCCCTCTGGGTGATACCCACCCACATATAATGAAACTTTTCTCCAACTAGATCCACACATTTCTGTGGCGCAGTAACAGAGCTGACGTCCGTCACACTGCCAGTGCCCTGAAGCTCCATCTCCACTTCTGAGTGAACCTGGTGGCAGGCAGCCAGGTCACCGGCCTCCAGTTCCCATATCGGTGCTTCACTTCTCAGCTGGCTGGCAGACTGGGGGGCCTGAGTTAGGGGAGAGGCCAGTCCTGTTCCCTGGGGGCAGACTCCTGTGTGGAGGGGCCCTGGGCCAGCCTGGGGCAGCAGGGGAGGCCTTGGAGTAAGCTCGGGGCCACGTGGCCTCAGGCGAGTCTCTTTCTCTCTATGGCTAAGGAGCTGTGGGGACCCTGGGAGCACTGGCCCATACAAATAAGTCCATTGTCTTAGGTTCCTTCTCAAAGGAGCTTGGTCATTGGGATGGCATCGTAAATGTAATTACAGCCACATCTTATGATCTCTAGGTAATGTGGGGACTCGTTTCTAAGACCTGAAGCACTCCCTCAATATCCTTATACCTCACCCCATATAAAGATGGGCCGTACCAAGGGGGCCAGGCGTGGCCGATCGACGTCCCTGAGGTCCCAGAGCATGTTGGGCAAGCCACGCGGCAACCTGTTTCTGAGCCCCAGTCCTGGGTTCTAGGCCTTATTGCCCTGGTTAAGCAAGGCTGGATGTATTTGATAGAAGTGTTGCAATTTGGGGTCCTCTCATTTTCAGAAATTGGTTCTAGAATTTCTTATTTTTTAATACATCCCATAAATATAAAAGAACTCCTGACAAAGACCCAGTTTAGCCTGGACGATCCATCATAAAATTTTCAGAGCCCATATTCAAAACTCTAAAAATATCACTTTCCTTGGATCAGGGTGGTATCTGTCCTGGGCCTTGGCCTTGGGCTTAGGTGGCCTGAACGCTCTGGCTTTGTCATGCAGCCTTCGCTAAAAAAGAAGAGCTGGTGTGAATAATTTAACCCTCATTCCAGTTTCCCTTTGCAGGTTTCTAACGCCGAGTGATCATCATTTAAGCACCAACCGGGATGTGCTATTCCTGTCCTGATGAACATTTCCTTCTCAGGAAAGTGGCTTTGAGGGGCTACAGATGTGCTAGAGGGAAGGGCCCGGGAGGGACAGACGTGTGCCTACGGGAGCTGGATGGCCCTCTATGGGTGGTGGTTCTTGAGAACCTTTGATGCCAGGCCTCTCCTTCCCTGTGATCCAACTTGGACACAGCACATACAGACGCCTGGTCTTCCATCTTCCCTCTCCTCCTGGGGACCACTTTGAATAGAGCTTCTAGAGCTAGAATCTCTGCATGTCTCCTCTGGAGTTCCCTTCAGCCTTTAGCTGATTAAAAATTTCAAAAGGAAGTTAAGAAATGCATTGAAAAACATGCAATGAAGCAGGAAGACACCTCCAGGAAGCACAGGACACTTAAGCTGCCTTAACCACACCGCTTGCCTCTAAGTGGGAGCCTCGGTTTTAAAAGTTCTGCTTGTGTTAGCTCAAGAAAGGTCTTACAGCCACCTTACTGGTTTAAACAATGAAGTGATGCTCAGTAACTCAGGGGCTGATAGGCCAGGATGTGGATTACTCAGGACCTGCTGCTTCCCCTGCGTTCTGTCCTTGGGCCAGCTCTGTCTTTGGGTCTTTCAGAGGGGGGCAGGGAAAAACAAAGGAAGAAGACTCAGGCTTCGAGGTTTGCTGTTGGCCCCTGGCCCCACGCTCCTCCTGGACTGGTGGCTGCATGTGTGCGTGTATGTGCACGCGCACGCACTTTTCTCTGACCTCACTTTTGAGCTGGTGCCTCTCTGATGTGTTTTGGTTCGTGATGTTGGACCAGAGAATTCTTCAGTTCTGTGTGAGATGAAAGTGAATGCAGGCAGCAGGTTCCAGAAGAAGGAATCCAGCAGCCCCTGTGCCCCAGTCCCTGCCTCTGGGCTGTGGAGGGTGAAAAGGCTGTCTGTTCACTGAAGCTGGGGTGAGAGGTGTGCACCAGGTCTGCAGGTGAGCCTGAGGTCCTGCCCTTCCTTAAGGCTCCATTCTCCCTTGCATAGCCCTGGGCACGGCTTGGTCCCCTCATGCAGGCTTCATGTAGTTGTCAGGCTATGCCTGGAGACACCCGTTTTCTTAATGGCTCAGCCCGGATGGTGGGACAAGTCTTGCAGATGGGTCCTGTAAGAAGGGAGCGAAGGAGGGGAGGCCGGGATCGTTGGCTCAGAGAGCAGAGCGCTGTCAGTTACAGACCCTCAGGCCTTCCTTCTGGTTTCTGAGACGGCCAAGGGGCGGGGCTCTTAGAGGAGACTGTGAATTTTGGGGAGCAGGGTAGGGGGGCATGCCCTTCAGGGCTTCTTCCTGCCACCTGACTCCTTCTAGGCTCAACCTGATTTCTCGTGGAGACCTGGACCGGTCCGGGATCTGCCCTTCATGCTGATGTTTTGCAGCCTCCCCTGCCCACACTGGTCTCGGCCCTCAGGGAGAGATTAGGGGTGGAGAAGCCTGCTCTGGCAGCAGGCAGTGTGGTTACGGGGTTGGTCTGGCAGTCCTAAGCTGGACGCTGGCTTTGGGCCTGAACTCGGCCCTGGCCTCCTCTCCAGCGAGACAGCTTCCTAGGAAGAAGTCCATCAGGGAGCCTGTGTTGCCCACACCATGACCCATGAACTACTCTTGCCCAAACAATGCAACCTGAGTCTGATCCAGCATCTAGTTTCAAGTACCAGGAGAACACAATAAATAACCTCTCAGGGGAAGTCATCAAAAAAGCCAGACTGGGAGAATCTATAGCACACATGACCTGGTCCCTTCCACAAATAAATTACAAGGGAAAAAAAAAAAAGAGCGAGAGATTGACGGGGGAGTTTGGACACTAAGAGAGACCCAGGAGACAAAGTGACCATTTGTAATGCGTGGGCCTAATTTAGATTCTGATTCAAAGGACCTTTTGAAAAAAAAAGAACAGTTTATGGGTCAATTGGGGAAGTTTGAAATTGCCTGGTTATTTCATGATATTAAGGAATGATAGTATTGTCATTATGTATTCTAAAAAAGGACCCTACGTTTCCCAGGCACACCCTGGGATATTCACAGATGAGGCAAGGCCTGGGAGGTTGGGATGGGAGAGGGGCCAGGCGCAGATGAAACAGCACCGGCTCTATTACAAGAGTTGTTGAGTCTGAGTGATGGGACCGAGTTTCACTATGACTTTCTCTTCATTTTTGCATAGCTTTGAAAATCACCATGATGAAATCTGGAAGGAGGGGAGGAAGAGAGAAAAAGGAGGAAGAGGAGGGGGAAGAGGAAATGGATGGGCAAGGAGGGGAGAGAGGGATGGGAGGTGCAGCAGCTGTGCCAGGACTGAGACCCCTCCCGCCCTCCCACCCCAGCTCAGTGCCTCAGAACCTGGAGATGAAGGCAGGTGGCCAACCTCAGGGCGGCCGCCCCCTCCGGCCTCCCCAGACTCAGATTCCAGTCTGGGGCCACTGACACTGGTGGGGTTTGCAGTGCGGGAGCCTGATGGGGGGGTGCCCAGGCCATGCGGGGAGGGGCTCCAGCTTCGTCCCCCCACCCCCAGGCCACAGCTGGTCCCCCTGCTTCGGGCCACAGGCCGGGCAGAGTGGGGCAGGTGGCACTCACCGCGGAGAGGCAGCTCCGGTCCTCCCGGATGGTGGCTCCGAAGCCCAGGAAGCCAGTCACCATGACGAGGGTGCCCGCGAAGATAAGGATATAGGCGGAGGCCGCGAAGGTGCTGGAGGCCAGGACGCTGAGGTAGCCGCTCTTCTCCACCAGGGTCCAGATGCCCACAGCCAGGACGGTGGCCCCCCCGACCTGCAGGGAGCCCTGAATCAGAGCAGGTGGCTGCTGGGGTGCTGCAGCTGCCATTTATTGAGCGCCCACTACAGCCCAGGCACTTTTTATGCCTCATCTCCTTTAGTCCTTCAAAGAGCCTGTGAGGATGGGGTGGATCCCCAATTTATAGATGGGGAAATGGAGGCTCGGAGAAGCTGGTGACTGGCCCATGGTCATACACCTGAGTTGCAGGGGCAGATTTTGAATCTAGAGGTGACTCCCAACTCCGCTTCTCACCACGTTGCCTGGGAGTCCCTGTCCCCGTGAGGTAGGGGAGGACTGAGATCACGGGGGACCTCTGTGTCTGGGCCCCTTCGCCTTCCCGAGTCCTGCCCCCCTGTGCCCTTCCTCCTCACAGGGCTCCTTGTCCGTGTACTCAGGTGGGCACTCTCACACACCCCCGACTTCATCCTTATACTTGCTCATGGAGAAAGCACAATGGGGCTTTTCAGCTCTGCTCCACAGAAGAAGAAATAGAAGTGCAAAGGGGAAATTGTCCGAGGACCTGCCTCTGCTTAGGGTCACTTAGGGGTGGGCTGGGACTTGAACTCAGGGTGCAGCCTCCATGGTTGAAAGGACACAGACTCCACAGCTCTGGGACTGCAGGAGGACTGAGCAGGAGGGATTCCTCCTTTGCTAGTTGCCTGCTTCCCCTTCGGCCCTGAGAAGGGGACAGGGACAGAACACTGCTGATTGGCAGGCTGGGCTGCCTCCTTTGGAAGGGTACCTGGGCGTACGCTGGGGGCTGGGGCTCCTTGCCTGGTTCTTTGTGCAGTGAGGCTGTTAAGCTCAGCAGAAGTGTGTCTGCCCAGGGTTTGGGTGGGGGCAAGACCCTTAGGACCATTTCTGCCATGTGTTCCTGGGCAAGGCGGACTTCTGTTTGGCCCCTGGTCTCCCTGCCTCATGTAGGGATGGGTTGTCTTCCTCCAAAGGGTGGGAACTGCTCCCTCAGGGGCCCCCAGTGTGGCCAAAGTGAGAGTAACCCCACTGGGTTCAGTTCACAAAGGCTCATCCCTGCACGGTATTCCCATCAGCCCCGGGACGGCAGCTCTCTGAGTGACCTACCCTGTCACCTCACAGTTCTCTGTTCTTGGGAGTCACAGGCATCAGCTGAGAAAATGGAAGGTGGTTCTTGGCAATTAATATGCACTAGGCACCAACCTTACTCAGCTTACCATTTTCTCTTCTGAGCTCTGCAATAGTGCGAGGGTGCGGTGCGGGGTGCGGGAAGGCACATGTTATCTCTGTTTTGCAGATGAAGGGCTTGAGGCTTGGAGAGACTAAGAACATGCTCGAGATGACAATACTGGGAAGTTCCAGAATTGAGATTCAAACCCAGGTCTTCGGAGGGCTGATCCAGGACTTTGTCCTTGGACCCAGATTGGGCTGCGTCTGCTCCCCAATTCATTTTTGCTTTTTTAATGATCTGTTTCCTTCAAAGTGCCACTTCACCCCCCTTAGCAGCTCCAGCAGGTAAGACCACCAGATGGAGGAACACACAGCAAGCGTGGCTCTGAACGGAGTGGGGGAGGCTAATGGGAGGCATTTCAGTTCCATTTTTTCCCCTTGCATTTTTATATCTCTAAAACTGACGTGCATCTTGTGATTAATGGCATCTTACAGTTATACTTGGCACTACTTTTTCTTAGTGGTGCAGAAAACAATGATGTCTCTTACAATACAAGTGATACAAGCTTCACTGAAATCCTGAACTACAAGAGGTTTGTAAATTCTCCCTGAGTGTATGCCATCTCGGGCCACACAGCCTTCGTGTCCAGTGAGGAGTTTCCTGACTCCGGGTCCATGGAAGGGAGAGTTTCCAGCAAAATGTCCCGCACATTTTCTGTCACCTCCTGTAGCATGGCTGGAAGACCTGGGCAGGGGTCCCAAACTGGCACAGCCAGCTGTGCGATCTGAGGATAGGCCCTTAGCCCCTTTGGGCCTGAGTTCCTTCACCTCTCAAATAAGGGGCTTGTATTCGACCAGTGGTTCCCAGCCTATAATCATCAAGGACTCTTGATTACTTTTTCCCATGAATCTTAGTGTTGAAGTTTTTTGCCTACCAAATCCAGTGCGTTAAGTAATTATTCATTTCTCATTCTTCATTAATCAAAGGCACACGAGAGTGCCAGGAAGATTCTGAACAGCATGAAATAGTCGGTGTGACCACGATGAGTCGATCTCATTTTTAATTGCTGTAGGCTCTCTGCAGAAATCTGCACACTACCCATTATCCATTAGGCTTATCAGCCCCACAGCTGAGCATCGAACCTGGCACCACCTGAAGAGGCACATTTGGACGGGACTGGGGACACTGACTCAGTTGGGGGACATGGAACCCACTGAGAATCTGATTAAAAAAAACAACCAAAAAACAAAACAAGCCTTGGATGCTTTTCCTGGAGCAATGGTCATCCATTTAAAATAAAGCATTCGGGTTTGCGGGCGGGAGCCTGATCTTAGACCATGGGGTGAGCCCTGGGGCCCACAGCCTCCGAGACCTGCTCCGCAGTCTTCCTCAGCCTGGCTGTGCAATCACGCGGGAGCTCTGAAGCACTCAAGCCACCCGCCAGGCCAGGTAAAGTCTCTGGGAATGGGACGCGACTATTTTAGTAAGTTTCCGGGTGGTCCCAGTTGAGAACCACTGTAGATGTCATATTTAAGAGGGTCAAGGTGTCCTGCCCCTCTTGCCCAATAGGTGGTGCTGTGCTGAATCTCAGAGACGACACTGTTTCCCGGAAGCTTTGGGCTCCTTCTCCTGGGGGCAGCTGCTGGGAGCACTTTGGACATTAGTTTAGGACTTGAACTCTTTCCGTTCTGTCTGCGCTTTGGTAGGAGCTTTGGTGTAGAAGGTGAGATAATGAGGAGCAGAATTTTCAGTCCAAAGGGATGAAAATCAGATTACGCAAGAAAGGAAAAAAACGACAGGTGACTCCCCAGGAAGAAGTGCTGGGCGGGGTGCGGGGGGTGGCCTCTGAGAAATGCAGCCCCGGGGAGGGTCAGTACTGATCCCACTAGGAGGGCTGCTGCCTTCCACAGCATTCGCCCGTCACAGAAAGGGCTGGAATCTTGCAAACAGGCAGAGCCTGCAGGTCTGCCAGGGTGACGGCACGGTCCCCAGCCATTGGGGAGGGTCTGGGAGGCATCTGGAGGGACCGAAGAAATCAGGAAGCGATTGTGACTCAGTAGGGACCCCCTCCCCTGGGGCATCACATCTGGTGGAGACACCAAGTGGGATTCGCCATCAGAAGCAGGAAGAGTTCAAGTCCAGGGGGGTCTCCTGCCTGGGATTTGGTAAGCTCTTTAGAAAACGGTCTTTCCTCTGGACAGGAAAAGTAAAAGCCACTAAATGTTGGCACAAGTCACCTAAGGGTGTCTTGGGAGGGCTGAGGCCAGCAGGCCTGGGCGCTGGCCCTGGCTGTACCCCTCATAACCATGGGACTGAGTGCCAGACACTTCGCATCTCTCACCCGCAGTGTCTTCACCTGACGACGGCGGTGCATGGGTCAAGTGTCCCTATTACTGGGGGCGGGGGGGGGGCGGCAAGGGGGGGACAACCTTCTGCCAATACACCTCCAGCAAGACGCTCCTGGGCCAGTGGCTCGTGGCTCTCCCTTGAGCCGAGTGGAGACTGCCCCGGTCAGCAGAAAGGGCAGTGCGAGGGGAAGTGAGAGGGGGGCTGAGTGGGGCGTGGAGAGATCTGACCCCGGTGAGCGACTCCCACCGCTGCGTGCATAGAGCTGATTCAACAGTGGCTGGCCCCTTTCAGAAACTGGGTTGGTTTTCTGTGACATATTAACTATGTTTTCAAAACCAGGGTCCATAACCAATTAGCCAGAAAGGGCTGCAGAAGTGTGGAACTGGCCTTCTTACCCACGAGGACTCAGGCAGGCCAGGGGCAGGGCAGGTCATCCAGGCTGCGTAATTTTAGAAACTGCCCATTTATAGAAAAGAAACATTGCCAAAAAGTTGCTCATGTCATTGTGGGGAGAAGGATTAGCCTGAGTTGTCACACATGCCTGGGTCCTGATGGATATCAGGCAGCAGACCAGAAAAAGAGCAGGCAGAGTGCAAAGCAACTGCAGGGTTCTTCTTTGTTAGGATACGGAAGGGTTTCTGTGCTGGGGCTAAGGGAAGGGCCGTCGGGAGGAGCAGGGGCTGCCTGTGGGGCCCCCAGGAAGGGAGGGTCCCCGTGGGAAGGCGTGCTGTGCCTTCGGTGCCAGGCGAGCTGTGGCACGGGGAGGCCCAGCGTGGCGCTGTGGTCACCACGTGAGTGTCTGCGGGGCGCCTTCTAGGTGCCAAACACACGCTGGGCTGCGTAGGTTTCTGGGCAGGATATGTGTTCACCCACATGGAACCGCTTTTGCCACCCGTGCTCCTCCTCCCCGGGCAGTCTCATTAACAGCACCCCTTCCTACCCAGGCCAGAACCCCCTCCCTCCTCTGCATGCGAGGTTGGTCAACGGCTGACCCCACCCAGGTCACTCAGGCCTCTGCAGGTGCTGCGTGGCTTTGGCCCCCTACCCGCACCCCCGTACCTGCCTCGGGGCCTCTGCTCAGCCCAGGGGCCAGCTTGTTGTGTTCCAAGTGCTGAACCACCGGGCATTCCTAGTGAATCACCTCAAGTTCCCCAGCACCCAGAGCACTAAGCGCAAAGTCCCCATGGCCTTGGGTCCTTCAATAGCCAGGTTTAGCCTGGATATCTGTTTTCTGCTACTTCCCTACCTCCACCTGTGGGCTTTAGTTACTATAAACTAAGTAGTTGCTTTTCCTGAAAACACTGCAGGTGCCCAGTAGCTATGGTATAAAGTGGAGTGGTGCAGAGGCCGGCTGCCGCCGTCCGCGCCCCAGCTTCCCGATGGGCCGCATGAATTTGGGCACGTTACACGGCTTCTCTGGGCCTCAGCTCTCTCATCTCCCCCTGACTTCCCACTTTTCTGCCCTTTCTCCTCCGCCTCTGGCTCTCTTGGGCGGGGAGTG